TTCTTAAAATCTATGTTCTTATACGCGGGTTTTTACTGTAGTTACTGTAATGATCACACGACAGATTTATTCTACAGTTACAGCACTAGTTAGTTATAATTAAATTTTAACTAGGTTTTGTGATTTCTTGCAATTTCAATTTGTAACAAGTGCGAGTTCGGCGCTAGTCTAGAAGACACGACTCACTGTGTATTGTAGACATGAAGTAAACCAAAAAAGTAAAAGCATCACTGGCGTAATGAATAGCAATACTTACATTTACAATCTCAACACTGTCACGGCAAATGCAATGGCAATGCATTTTCTGTATTGATTAGTGTGTGAGACTCGCAGCTAGGGCCTGCATAGACCAATAAAGCGTGCCCTAACAATTTTTATATTCTGATGTTATTTTAGGACCCAATAGCCTTTCATAGACAAAACCTGTGAATTTTGTCGTGCAAAATGCACAACCGTTTCATTATTTACGGCCGTGTTACATAGAAAATCAAAGAAATACGGTACCTAAAGCCGTCGCTTTATTAACATCTTACCTACATTACAAAACACTTGTCATGCAGTATTCTCCTCTTTAATCACGTTTATTTTATTAAAACATCACAACATAAAAATCACACAAACTTTGCTACAAACAAAACTGGCAATCTTGCATTGAAGTTGAACCGCACCGGACAGCGATGATTTCATTGGCCGGTGAGAAATGTCGTTGTGCAGATTGCCAGATTGCAAGAATGCAGATTGCCAGAATGCAAGATTGCCAGTTTTGCTTGTAGCAAAGTTTGCGTTATTTTTATGTCGTGATGTTTTAATAAAATAAACGTGATTAAAGAGGAGAATACTGCATGACAAGTGTTTTGTAATGTAGGTAAGATGTTAATAAAGCGACGACTTTAGGTATTTCTTTGATTTTCTATGTAACACGACCGTAAATAGTGAAAAGGTTGTCGTGCATTTTGCACGACAAAATTCACAGGTTTTGTCTATGGAAGGCTATTGGGCCCTAAAATAACATCAGAATATAAAATTTCTAAGGCACAATTTATTGGTCTAGGGCCTGCATACCTCCCAAAGTGACGCGTCGTCGACCGACCAATTGGAGCGCTCGCAGCTCCTCCCAAAGTGACGCGTCGTCGACCGACCAATCGGAGCGCTCGCAGCTCAGGCACTAAAAGTAAAGCTGATGCGATGTTTTGTGGTTACATTATTTAAGCTGGCTATCGTGAGTGGATGGTTACTGGTAAGGCCTAAGGATTAGGGTTAGGGTTTAGCTTTATAATTATATTTGTCAGCTTTAGTGCCTGAGCTGCGAGCGCTCCGATTGGTCGGTCGACGACGCGTCACTTTGGGAGGTATGCAGGCCCTAGCTGCGTGTGTGAGTGAGTCACAGCCAATGTCCAAAAGAGACTACTTACTTAGTGACTAGGTAGTCACTACGGGCGGTAAATAGTACTGAGTCTGCAGTACCAGTAGTTGTACTACTAGTAGTAGTATGTGTTGGATTTTAAAACCACCTCTCTTTAAATAGAGGGACATTAATAAATTGCACACTTATTTCACTCCAATAAGTAAAGTTCCTACTCACCGTATCCAATTTTGTATAGCGACGTTCCCAAAAACTTCACTGTCAAATTCTATTTCTCTGTCCGGCGACAGGATGACTGGAGCCAAACAACAGCGTGGTTCAAGAGTGTTCCTCGCATAATTTTAGAACTATATTTTGTCGATTAATAGAGCTATGCTTATGAAGAATGCTGTTTAACAAATTTAGAAAACAACCAAATTAAAAAAAATATTTCATCGGCTGTTATATATAAAAAGGAGACTATGTATTGGCTACCACAGTAAAGAGAATCGGGTCTACATCTCGCAAATCGGTTTCGTATCAATTCGCTTCGTAAACATTGTGACGTCATAACGCTGGAGCCACGAAGTCTGTCACTTGTTTATCGTGAGTTTGCGTTCGTGCGAGTGCGAGAAAAGACGTGGCAGTAACAAAGTATTTCAATGTCATATCTAAATACCTCACTGATCTCTATAATATAATCTATTATATTATCGATATATAATCGATATATAATCGATATATATCGATTATATAATCGATTATATTATAGAGATCAGTGAAATACCTCATCACGCCGTACAAAATATACTTTCTTGTCCAAGAGACTGTGAGGAAGAAAGAGAGAGAGAGAGTCTACATGTGACATATCGATACTGCGGATTGAGTCGAAAATGTTGCAATGTGACAATAATATTAGGAGAATACTTTTCTCTGATTAATCAAATTAATAAATAATAATTGTATGTATAGGCCATTGCGAAACTAAAACTTTTTTACAATTGATTTGATCAACTTTTACGTACTCTTTCCGTCTTTGATATATTCCCCTGAACATTGAAGACGTTGAGACATTGAATCTGTACAGGGGTTATAATAGAATCCCAGCGCAGAACCGGGAAAAAATAAATTTGAACAAATCCTTAGAAAACAATGCAGAATTTTTTTTATCAGTGTGAACCAGATGACAGAGTTGGCAACTGAACAACAACTACTGAACAACAACTACTGAACAACAACTACTGAACAACAACTACTGAACAACAACTACTGAACAACAACTACTGAACAACAACTACTGAACAACAACTACTGAAGGACAGTATCAACAACTGAACAAGGAATCTACCATATATATCTGGACCATAGACAATTTGTCAATTATGTATACATTATGGTCATATAAATATATAAATGTATAACAATACAATATATACAATAATTATATGTACAATATAATACACAATATATATATACAATATATACAATGTACAAATATATTTATATGACCATATTAATGCATTTTGTAAAAAGGTACAAGCTTGGTGTGCTGAGAGCAGATAGTAAGATACGATTAATGAGTTGGGGTCAAATTGAGACAGAACAGAACCTAAACGGTCAATTTTAAATAGTGCTTTGTAAATACACGTGCCACTTTTATTCTGTATGGATTCCTTTGTGGTATGTTTTTAAATAGAATAGGGGGTCGGATATGTCAGAGCATGTTCTAAAGAAGTTTTTAAATAAGCAAAATTTGGATGGGAGTATAACACTCTGGTACAGAATATGCGTTTATTAGGAACGAATCTGTCTGATCAGAATCGATCACTTATATTATTATGAAATCTTTATTGTATGTAATTAATTAGTCTTTTTCACGGAGACTGATTCTTGATCACGATCTCCCCAAATAAATGCAAACTCACTTCCAACAGATCAACTTTCACTGTGGATTAGGGAAAATTGAACCTTTGAATCATGTGAAATTTCGATTTCAATATTTATTAGTTGCCTAAGTATTTGGGTTCTGTTTTGAGCCAAAAGAATATAGGTGTAACATGTAAATAATGTTAAAGATGATTAACTAGAAGAGATTAATAAGGTAATTTATTTTAAGCAAGAGGAGAACACTGTTTAACACTACAACTAAATTGACAAAAAATATGCTTTTTTGGAAGATGAGAGAGGGGAGAAAGCGCGAGAGAGTGCGAGGGCGAGCGAACGACAGAGAGGTGGGAAAGCGAGAGAGAACCACCGAGCAAGAGAGGGGAGAGAGATAGACATGCAGAGATAGACATGCAGAGATAGAGAGAGAGAGAGAGAGAGAGAGAGAGAGAGAGAGAGAGAGAGAGAGAGAGAGAGAGAACAAAAGAGCGGGAGAAC